TTTTTTTTTTTTTTTTTGAAGACTTAATAAATACTCATCGTGCCAAAATTTCCAAAATTGATCTAATAGTTTCACCGATTCTTTAAAACATCAAGCAGTTCATTTTTCTCTTGAGGGGGGAGGGGGGTACATAGTCCTGATCATCATCTTCAGGTTCCAGAGGGTGTGGCCCTAACTTGAAATCTGGTTCGATAAATCTATTGGTCTCAACAACATTGAATTAGGTTTATCAAAAATAAAGGTCAGAGGTCGAGAATTAATAACTGCTTCTACCTCACAACTCAAAGTGGTGAATTCCTTTTGGAGTAAAATACGTCTTCCTATAGTTTTCTTCAAACAGTTCTTCACTAGTCCAATCATTCTTTCGTAGAACCCACCCTTCCAGGGAGCATATTCATTAATAAAATCCCACTAAATTATTTCATTTGTGAAATAATTTAGTGAATCTTCGTGCTCTCTAATGAGTGACCACGCTTTATCTAGGCCCCGTTTTGCTCTTTTGAAGGTGGTTGCATCATCACTAATGATTCCTGTTGGTTTTCCCCGTCTTGCGATAAATCTGTTAAATGCATTTAAGAATGTTTGAGAAGTTAAATTAAAAACTACTTCTAAATGCAAGACTTGAGTAGTAATACACGTATAAAGACAAATCTAAATTTTCATATTTGTTTTTGAAACATCATTCTTGAAAAGAATTGGTCCTAAATAATCTAAGCCCGTAATTTGAAAAGGTTTCATTCTAATACTACGTACAGTTGGAAGTGGGGGCATGGGAGGTAGACTATAAGGTCCTGATTGATACTTACGACAAACGAGACAATTCTTAATTAATTTTTTCAGTGGTGATCTTCCTTTTGGAATCCAATAAGTTCTTATTTCAGTTAAAGTACTTTGAACTCCAGAGTGAAATAGTTTCTCATGGACATATCAAGCAATTAAGGTTGTTAAATGACTACGAGGATGTATCAGAATTGGACCCCTTTTGTCAGTCATTAAATTCATTTTTGAATATCTGCCCAGACATCTAAGAATCCCATTACTGACTATAACTCCTAATCTGCCCTTAAGGTCGTTTTCAGTGTTAGCTTTAACAGAAAGAAATAACCGACCTTAATCTCGTAATTGATCTCTTCTGATCAACAGAGTTTTGGCGGATTTGAGCTCTTTGTCTTTCAAGGTACCTCGAGATTCACAATTACAGAGTAGGTTCGTATGTCAATATACTTTGCTCTAGAAATATCATTAATCTTACTCCATAGTGCAACATAAAGGATTCTTAAAACATAGGCCGTAACACGTTCCAACTTCCTCCAAGATGAAAAACCATTGATATTGATAATAAATGAAGATTTAGGGATTTTGGGCATATTGTCCGTTTTAATTACGGTACGGGATACAGACGTTTCCACACAGATGGAATAGTCTTCCTTATAGGCGTTTTCTCAAGGTTGCCATTCATTCTGGTTCAAGCTTAACCATTTCGGTCTTTCCCACCATAATTGATTGTCCTTCAACTCGGTGATTGTTACACCTCTAGTGGTAATATCGGCTGGGCTGTCTTTAGTATTCATATATTTTAGAATCAATTTTTATGATTTCTTATTTTCTCGACTCGACTGTTTATAAAGGTGGGTAACATCTTATTGGATTTAATCCAATTGAGTGCACACTTAGAATCACTTCATGAGATACAGTTATTAAAACGTAACCTCACCTGACTAGTAATAAATTTAGTTATTTTTGTACCAATTAATATAGCCATTAATTCTAAACATGGAATAGTCATTCCTTTACACGGGCAAAGTCTATTTTTACTGTAGAGAAGATAAGAATTCGCTTTAGCGTTCTCCCCTTCAAATCTTAGATAAGTAACAGCAGCGTAAGTTGTCGACGATGCATCGACGAATGTATGTAACTGCCAGTTTCCTTTACTTTCTTTGTTGATTAGCAGTCTAGGTAAAGGTGAAGGAGCTATTTTATCCCATTCCTGACATATACTCTTCCATCTTTGGACCATTTCCTCAGGCAGCTCTTGACCCCAGTCATAGTGTTGTTTCCACAATTTTTGGGAGAATAATTTCCCATTTATAATGACTGGAGTAAATAAACCTAATGGGTCGGAATTCTGAGCCAATCGTCTCAAAATTTGACGTTTAGTAATACTAACCAAATCGTCTTCAGAAACTCTCAAATCAATTTCTAAACTACCCGTTTTTTTGTTCCATAGAATTCCTAAAAGTTTTACTGTATTGTCCTTTTCTCGATCTTCTTCTTCGATAGCCTCCTCAAATTCTGGATCATTAGAAGACCATTCTTGCAGGTTTGTGGGAGCTTCCTTGAAATTTGTCTTCATTGGTTGATAAACGTTTATAACATCTTTACAATTACTAGCACCCGTTATGAGATTATCCAGGTAGATATTGTCGATTGTCTCTCGAATGATAGTTGCATATTCTTCCATTCCCTCCTTTTTGAATTTCGTACATTTGGTCCTCAAGTGATGTACTAGTGTCGCTGAAAGTAACAATGGGCTAGAAATTACTCCAAAGGCTACTCGCGTAAATCCGTAAATTTTTAAGTTCGCTTTCTGAACATTTTGGTCCAATCCTTTATTCACAGAAAGCGTGTTACGTCTCGATCCATGTCGTGGAACCCTAACTGTAGAAATGCCTCTTCTACATCAGCTACGATAGCTACGTTGTGCATACGAAATCGTAGCAGCATTCCACATAGATCCGGTAGTAATACGGACCCAGATACAAACAGTGGTTTAAGCTCTTAAATTCCTTCCTTTCTTTTAACGAAGCGTCATATACTATCCTAATTTTCGTTTTTTTCTTCGAAGGGGTTACAACTGGGTGATGTGGTAAGTAGTGGACTAATGATGTTTCCTCTCTTTAGGAACTTCTTCAATTATTCTTTGATTTTCTTGATCCTTAAGAACTTGGTCATAATTCAACAGGAGTTTCTTTTTCTTTTTTAATCTTCTAATAAGTGACTTTAGTCTAAGATAACACAAAAAATAGTTGTCATTTAAATTTGCTACGTCTTCCTTAAATGGCCAACTCAAGTAATACCTCTTTCCTTGATATTTTAAAGAAGAATAAAATTGCTCAAGAGCTTTGTCATCGTCCTTTTTCACTGGTGAATCTTTGATACCAATAGATTCTGAATCCCAAAATCCTTCAACTGAGGTAATTTCTTTTGAAATTGTCTCAGGTGTGACAATATCCTTACATACTGAGGAAAATACTCTATGATTGTTAATTGGGCTCTTTTTTCCACAAAGAGCTCGGCCTACTGTAGTATTAACTAAACACTAGCCTCGAAATCTTGTAACATCAGGGGTTTCCTTTACTATATCCCAGTAATAATCTGACCCTATGAGAATCTCTGTACCCATCTCATGTCATGGTCTACACCTATATTTTGCGAACGCTCAGCTACCTTCTTAATGACGTATGCCTGGATTCGCATACTTTCTCCATTCTGCAACAATAAATCAAACTCTACTAACTAGCTTTAATTATTGGAGTTTTAGACGCAAAGGTATGAATAGATAATACTTCTTCTGTTAATGGAATCAAGCCTAATTTTCGAGTAAGATTCTTACTAACAAATGAACGTTGACTACCTGAGTCGGAGAAGAGATGTTTTGATTTGATTAGAATTTAATGGATTATTTACTGAAGCCTTTAGAGTCAAGAGTAAGACTGAAGATTCCATTTTATGCGAATTCTTGTAACTCATAATAGAACTATTTTTTTGAATACTTTCTTCTTCATTTCTCATTCTTATTTCACTAGGATGCTCAGAATGAGTTTCTGTCTGTACGACAGTAACATCATCAGTTCGCATTCCTCTCTGTTCCCTATGGTAAAATCTTTTTCTCTCACATA